GTGTGGTTTTACCATGTCATACTATGATTTTACCATGTCATTGTGTGGTTTTACCATGTCATAGTGTGAATTTACCATGTCATACTGTGATTTTACCATGTCATACTGTGGTTTCACCATGTCATGCTGTGATTTTACCATGTCATACTGTGATTTTACCATGTCATACTGTGATTTTACCATGTCATGGCGTGGTTTTACCATGTCATACTGTGATTTTACCATGTCATACTGTGATTTTACCATGTCATGCTGTGGTTTTACCATGTCATGCTGTGATTTTACCACGTCATACTGTGATTTTACCATGTCATGCTGTGATTTTACCATGTCATACTGTGATTTTACCATGTCATGGTGTGATTTTACCATGTCATGGTGTGATTTTACCATGTCATACTGTGATTTTACCATGTCATAGTGTGATTTTACCATGTCAGTGTGATTTTACCATGTCATACTGTGGTTTTACCATGTCATGGTGTGATTTTACCATGTCATACAGTGATTTTGCCATGTCATACTGTGATTTTACCATGTCATGGTGTGATTTTACCATGTCATACTGTGATTTTAACATGTTATAGTGTGGTTTTACCATGTCATAATGTGGTTTTACCATGTCATTGTGTGGTTATACCATGTCATTGTGTGGTTTTACCATGTCAGTGTGATTTTACCATGTCATTTTGTGGTTTTACCATGTCATAGTGTGGTTTTACCATGCCATTGTGTGGTTTTACCATGTCATAGTGTGGTTTTACCATGTCATTGTGTGGTTTTACCATGTCATAGTGTAGTGTCTCAGTACAACAAGCTCTTTATGGAACAGTTGGAATTCAGCTCGTGGCTCTAAACGATAAGAGTCAGGGGTCTAAAGAAGGCAGTCTGTTTACAATGCAAGCATTTTTCTGTTTCACTTCTGTTGACTTTGATTGAGCGGGGGAGGGGGCAGGTGAGCAAGGCATGTCTGTTAATACACATGGTAATACTGTGTCTGTCAATACACATGGTAATACTGTGTCTGTTAATACACATGGTAATACTGTGATTCGTGCATTGAGGCATACAGCTTTAATTAAAGGTGCTAATATGTGCAGTGTCTTGTAAAAGTATTTACACCTTTTAAACTTTTCTACACTTTAATCGTGTTTCTATCCAGTTGTAGAGTGAATTTTTATCGAACTTTTCAAAATTCGCAAAAAATTAAACAAATAAAAATTCAAATCTAGACTGTTTCCATCTAGTTTCCCTCTCGACTGTTTGATGCGAATAAACAAGGCTACGCAATACGTGATTACGTCAGAAGAGGCTACACAACGCGTGTGTTATGGCAATATTTATTTAACAAAGACAGAACTACGTGGTCCAAGAATGAAGGTACTCCGTGAGATGATCAGCTGAGTTTTATTACAACAACAGGAAACACAGAGAACAACCTGGCCTGTCTCTGTACCTCTGCTTCTCTCTGTCAGTCTCTCCACACTACTGTTGTTGAACACTGTGTCTCAAGAGGCCTCATATATATATACTGTATTAACAAACATCATTATGTCATCTTAGCAAGATTTGATACAAGGTCAATGGAAAACAAAGATAAACACAAGAGATATCTAAGAATGACTGTTGTTAGTAAATCTTGTTCTGACTTTAATAATTCTATCTGCAGATGAATAGCATGTCATGAAAACCTAGGTCATTAAAGGATGTCATGAATTACTGGCTTAAACCTAAAAGTATTAGATCCACCACACGTGATTACATCAGACGCGGCTACGCAACTCATGATTACGTCAAGACGAGGCTACGCAACGCGTGATTATGTCAGACGACGGTACTTAACGCGTGATTACGTCAGACGAGGCTACGCAACACATGATTACGTCAGACAAGGCTACGCAACGCGTGATTACATCAGACGAGGCTACGCAACACATGATTACGTCAGACGAGGCTACGCAACGTGATTACGTCAGACGAGGCTACGCAATGCGTGATTATGTCAGACGAGGGTACTTAACGCGTGATTATGTCAGACGAGTCTACGCAACGCGTGGTTACGTCAGACGAGGCTACGCAACGCGTGATTACATCAGACGAGGCTACGCAACACATGATTACGTCAGACGAGGCTACGCAACGTGATTACGTCAGATGAAGCTACGCAACGCGTGATTACATCAGACGAGGCTACGCAACACGTGATGACGTCAGACGAAGCTACGCAACGCGTGATTACGTCAGACGAGGCTACGCAACGCATGATTACATCAGACGAGGCTACGACGCAATGCGTGATTACGTCAGACGAGGCTACGCAACGTGTGATTACGTCAGACGAGGCTACGCAACG